AGGGTGTTTTTTCATGTCCTCTATGCTCTAACTACGAAAATATTTGATTTACAAATAAGGAATCCTACTTCGCGGAATTTCATTTATTACGGTAGGGTCTAGAACCGATTAACCGCGATAAACGAGGGTTCACTGTACATTAGATTTTTAAAAAAATCAAAGAAGTAAGAGGTTGTGATGAGAATACAAAAAATTAGGTAGTTAAGTATTTGCACAGAGTATTTTACATTAAACTTGATTATGATGAGGAGAAGTATTCCTAATCCTTCTGAACTTCAGAGGGAGTTTAGAGGACTTAGAGCTTTGATTTAGATTAAGTCCAGAACATCCATTTAAAAAACCAAGAATATTATAAGGGCTAGATGGGCAGGACTGACAAACCCACACAGCCAGGTGGGCTTTCATGCAAGAGGACTGGGGACAGACCCTCGGGATTTGGGAAGGGTTCTTAGGCTGAGGATAGTTCTAGGAGCTGGCCTTACATTTATGCCCAAGGGCACTAGGAAATCCAAATTAATGTCTATGGAAGTATCAAAGTACATGGTTGACATCTGTAAAAAGCAGTCTCTAATCTTGTGTACATGACTAATTCTACTGTTTTTACTTTATACAAATTCTATTTTTGTTTAAATATTTCATTTTCTGGTTAGATATCATATTAACATTACTATGATAGGGGAATTTTTGCATGAAGTAGGGGAATTTATTGTGCTCATCGGGAGAAAGATGATGCTTTCTACTCCTATAAAGAGTTACAGCTGTGAAACCCTAAAGGTCACTATGAGTTGGAAATGACTCAAAGGTAGTGAGTTTTTTGATTGTTTTGTTTTACTGTGCTCATCAGCCTCTTTCATAAAACCGTCAATCAATTCTCTTCACATTTTAGTAAGATTTTAAATACATAGAACCAGGATTGCTTTATAACATTTAAGTGTATAATTATTCCATTACAGAATAATTGTAAATTTGTTTGATAATAAATAGCCATTAAGTTATATTTCTTATTGATCCCTCAGGTAGTTATATTGTTTTTAGTTATATTATAATTGATGATAAGTTAGTTCTGAATTTTTAAGGGAAATATCTTTTCCCTCTAGACCAGGGGTCCTCAAACTTTTTAAACAGGGGGCCAGTTCACTGTCCCTCAGACCATTGGAGGGCCGGACTATAGTTTAAAAAAAACCAACTATGAACAAATTCCTATGCACACTGCACATTTTTTTTAAGGGTGGAAACAGACCCAGTCATGGACACGGCAGCCTGCTGGGTCTCCTTGCTTTATTAGTTTCCAGCCGATCAGTTCAGAAAGTTGGAAAGGGTGAGGCGGGAGAGGGTGAGGCCGACACCAGGAGCTCTGGACATACTCTCCTGGGGCAGTCTTGGCAGGTACAGACTGTGGGACAAGACCTCCCAGGCCCCACCAGG